GATGGCACTAATGGATGAACTTGGTGCCTGTGTTTGACAGCTGGTAAAAGCATTAATTACCCCATGCTTGAAGGCCCAGGCACAGCTCTTTTCAGGCTGTGGGACGTCTGTGTTGTGCCTGCAGGGTCATCTCGTGGCCAAGTCCAGGCTCTGTGTCGGACACCTCTGTCAGAAGAAAGATACAGATGCCAACAGGAATGGCTTTTATTCCCGTCTTTGTGTTAGAGGAATCCGAATGACACGCGATCCCTCAGCCCTGGCCTTCTTGGTGTTCCCGTATCGGGACCGAGTCATGTTTCTGCTGATGCGGTGTCTTCTGAGTAGTCCTGTGGTGTAGATTGCCCTGTGTTTCACAGGAAAGCGGATGAATGATATCAAGTCATTGAGCTCATAAGTAGCACACTGGCAACCCGCCACTAAAATATAAATACATTAAATGTACTAAAGGAAATGTTCATTCTGTTGTTTAGCATTGGACATGCCCCAGTTAGGTAAATTTAATCTTCTTGAGGGTTGTTGTGTTACAGCTGAATGAGATAGACCCTTATCTCATTACCGATCTTTCTGTCATTCAGGTTTTGTGCTCTGACATTCACGGTGTGCAGTGCGCTTGCCCAGTGGCGGTGCTGTGAGTATTCCCCAAGGGAGAAGGAGATGTGTAGGGGGTCTGTTAGCACATTGCAAGCCCAGACCCTTTATCTCTGACGTCTTCACTGCCCTAAATCCCTTGTCAGTCACAGTGCTAAAGATTTCGCCTCTTTTTCCGTAGGAATGTACAAAATGGTCGCTTTATGTGTGTTAGAAAATGTCTGAAATCCATAATTGCGGCATGTGTTTTCTTCCCTTGTATCTCATATGTTAACTTTTGCAGTTCTTTTGTAAATCTCTTATCCACATGCCCATTCCTATGGAGGAATCTCTCACTGGCCCCAGGTGCTAAGCATAGCCCCAGAGCCAGCTGAGTGCGATGAAGAGGGGTCTTTCCAGAGTTCTCCTGGGTGCTGGGTCAGGCCTGATCACTGTGATCCCACAGCATGAACTCTCTTGGCTAACCCTGCCCCTGGGGAGCATTGCCAAATGGCACTGCACTCACAGCCCCTCTGCACCAGCTTAGCTCCCCTTGCAATTATACAGTGAAAGAGAAAGGTAAGGCAGAAGACAGAAGCCAAAGGGATAGGTGAATAGAGAGAATCTGAGCTGCTTACAAAGACAGATGATGCTCTATATGGAATGCGAGTACTTAAAAAAATAAGACATTTGCTGTGTATTTTATAGATAAAATGTTATCGTATTGAACTGAAAGATATATGTTTCACCTATCACATCTGAACTAATCAGCGTAGGCTTTTAGAAGAAGTCTGTAATTACTCTGAGCGTGTCATTACTTAGATGTGAAATGAATGATATTGCTCCATTTTATTACCTCTAGTGATATAGCCATTTGTATCATAAATTCATTGACCTCATCTTAAATGATCAATCCTGTAAGACAGACTTGATTCATTAATTGTTAAGTGACATTTTTTCTCCACCAGTAATTTCCTCCTCGTTGTAGGAATGTTTTTCTGCATTTTAGTGTGCTATTCTAAGGGGTCCTATTACCTGCATACAACATGCACATTTTATGCTTGTGTCTTAAATAAGCCACGGAGAGTGATTTCTTATATAGATAAACAGAAACAGAAGTAATGAAACACATAGATGTGGCAGATACACATCTCTCACTAATGTTAACTTCAACACTTTGGAATGCTGCATAAAATCATGATAATTATGAGATATTTGGTCCATCCAGGATATTCAGAGGAACAGAATTATTGCCTTTAATTTCTGTGGCTTTAATTGATGTAATCTAGTGATAAAATACACAGAATGGTCTGTGATCAGTGCATGACTTCATGAGTTTCTTGTACCTTGGTGAATTATTGAAAACAGAAGAAATCAGTAGAGAATTTCTAAGCAGGATTTCTAAATATTGTACCCAAGAAGAGAAAATATTTGTTTAGCTGTGAATGACATAGGGGTCCACTTGAGATAAACAAATCAGCGCAGCAATAAAACATGAAATATTTCAGTGAATTGATCAACTGCTAACTAATAAAATTAAATGATTAGGAAAAATGCCACAAGTGTTTTAGGTTTGGTTTTGCTTTCTGCCGTTATTTTTCTTTTGGCCTGTTTAGTTAAAGTCACCAGTGGAGGCTATTCCTAGAGCAGTAAGGGGGCTGTATCTTCCTTCATATTTCTCAAGTGCTTCTTTGGCACCAGGTGTACAAGTTGAGAATTTGTTTCCTTCCTTTGTTCTGAGTGAAGGTGAGGCCTTGGCTGCAGGTCCCAGGACATGATTAGAGTGATACGGCGTAGTGGACATGGTGGAGATGGGCTGATGGTTGGACTAGATGATCTTAGTGGTCTTTTTCAACCTTAATGATTCTATGCATTGGTTCTATGACTATGGCAGAGGTAGCTGCCCCTGGATCCTGCTCCATCCCATTCAGCAGCTGCCTTCGGGACTGGTCTCTAGGCTTCTCCCCTGCAAACAGGCGTGATGGTGGGCCAGGGTGGACTTCATCCTATCCCAGCCTGCCTGGAGGACCCCTGCCTTTCTCCATAGCCCATGTGGTAGGAGCATGACCTGCAAAAGCAGCAGAGTGGCTTAGGTCCTGATTCCACACATGCAGAATAGATAGTGTTTTTTACTGTAGGAGTGAGCTTTGCATCAAAAATGGCTATAAGGTAAATCCAGCAGCATCGAATGGGACCTTATTAACTCATGGCATAGACACACAAATTCCTCTTTTGTCCGCTTGGAAGGCTGTGGCAAGCCAAAAAAATTCAGGAGGTCAATTACAAGGTATTTCCATCAGCTCATCCTGGGATGGGGTGGTGTTGATTTGCAAAGCGGGTGGCACAGTCCATCCTGTGCCAAATACCCGGGATGGTTCAGTGCCCATGGCCACTGCTGCAAGGGATTGCAAAGCCCCAAGAGCCGAGGGAGAGCTGGCGCCTGGCAAAGCCATGTAAAACCTCATTTGTAACACATAGAGGGACATTCTTCCTTGTGTGGGTCATCATGGGGGAAACATGCCCACAGGAAGACTGCAGAAGCACTGTGGGACTAGGCGCCCTGTGATTTATGTCCCGTTATGCTGCATCCTTGTGCCCAACCTGGGCCCAGCGTTGCTTTGCTTCAGCAGTGACTTCATAGCTGCTATTTCTCCAGTAGTTATTTAGTTTGATTTAAAACTTGGGATAAAATCTTCCTGGTAGAGAAAGGGAGTGTGTGTGTAAATGGGGTGTGGAGGCAGGGAAGGAATCGAATAGCAACTAGACTGGGTAACCCAAATGTAGCAGAGCCAAAATTGGCGGTCTGATAGTGTGCTGGGGGTGTGTGCATGTGCCTATCTATGTATGTATATATATAAGATATATTACTGAAAACTCAAAAATGTCACCACTGTTTATATTACAGGAAAGCTGAGAGTTAAATGAGATGGGTAATCAGATGCCCGACATATGTTGTTTTGAATTGTTTATATGGCCAGTCGTTATTAAAATTAATTATCCTTTTAATGCAGACTTTTCACAATCATATTCCTTTCTTCATACAAAGGATACAGTCATTTCAAAATGGGCTAAAACTGGCTGTTTGGAAAAGGCAGAGCAAATGATACCACAATGTATTCTGACATGGTCATAGGCTCAATGTGCAGATAGGAAGCACCACAAATCTCTGCTGGTGGAGTATTTTGAGAGCTAATGTAAATGATAAAAATGCTTTTTTTTTTTTTTCTTAATTTTTTTTTTTTTCTGTGTGCATAAAATTCTGTCGAAAAAGTAAGGCACTGAAAATTCTGACATCTGTTTATCTGTTTATAGCTATGGCAAGATTACTCATATTAATTCTTGTTTAAAATGCCATATGAAGGAAAGGCATTTGTGCAAACAAGAGTCATATTTGAATTGTAGATCATGTCTTCACCATCTGTGAGAGCTGTTGGTGTTGCAAAATTAATGTGTTAATGAAATCACAATAATTTCTCTGAAGTAATGGATTCTGAAGCCTGGAATGACTATTTTTTGAACTTTGGTGTCTAGTGGTTTACAACTGGGAAAACCTTTCACAGCTTAATTAGTTCTGCAGCCTTACTTTTTAAAAAAATTGGCTATGCCTTTACCACACCAATAGTAACACAGAAAAGGATTAAATGGAAAGGAGATGAATTTAAGAAAAAAATAGAAAAAAGAAAAAGCCTGCAATGCAAACTTTTTGCTGCAGTATTTGAAAAGTTGCTAAAATGCCCTTTTTGCCAAGAAGCTTTACTCAGGGTGACCAGTATGCAAAAGGGGACAAACAGCTTGGAAATATCATGAATTAGGACTATTTAAATGTTACACAAATTTTCTGACTATTTCCAAGTTGCTCCTTGGAATAAGGGGCAGGGGATGAATGCTGCTTTTGCTTTGTGATGCCACTTTAAAATCCCACACCCTTTCCAACTTAGTGTTTAATATGGTTAATAAAGTACAAAATACTACAGTTTATGATGTAGTGGCAATGTTTTGCACTCATTTCCAGTGGCTTACAGTGTCTTTTTCCTCTTGTCTTATTTACTGTGTAGTATTGCATCGGAGATGGTAACAGTGTGTTTAGTTTACCACTGAGGAGTAATCACAGCCATGTTCATATGGATTTTTTAATGTATACATATGTGTGTTATAACAGTTTATGCCAGCTGAGGAGTGTTCACTGTGGCATGGCTATAAAATATGTAACATACTGCATAAGACAGAATTGCGACCATAGTAGCCAGAAAAGGAATTATTATTCAATTGTCCAATGTTTTGGGTGAAAAAATGTTAGCTTTCACAAATGTAACTTTTTTTTTATGCTATAAAAGTAATGCATTTAGGAAGCAACTGAAAAATGACTTTTAAAATAACACTATGAAGAGAAGATTGCTTTTCTTACCTGATTTGATTTTATTACTGTGTTGTAGGTATGTGACTGGTGTAAGCACATAAGACACACAAAAGAGTATCTGGATTTTGGGGACGGGGAAAGAAGGCTTCAGTTCTGCAGTGCAAAATGTCTCAATCAGTACAAAATGGACATTTTCTACAAAGAGACACAGGCCAATCTTCCAGCTGGACTGTGCAGTACATTACATCCTCCAGTTGAAAATAAAGCAGAAGGCACTGGAGTACAGCTGCTGACTCCAGATTCTTGGAATATACCGCTAGCAGATGCTCGGAGAAAAGCTCCATCCCCAGCGTCTGCAGCTGGCCAAATTCAAGGTCCTGGACCATCAGCGTCTACCACTGCCTCTCCGTCTGACACTGCCAACTGCTCTGTCACTAAAATCCCCACGCCAGTTCCCAAACCTATTCCCATCAGTGAGAATCCAAATATTCCACCAGTTTCTGTCCAGCCACCTGCTAGCATTGTGCCTCCAATTGGTGTCCCACCTCGCAGTCCTCCCATGGTAATGACAAACCGTGGGCCAGTTCCGCTGCCCATATTCATGGAACAGCAAATTATGCAGCAAATCCGTCCGCCATTTATTCGTGGGCCGCCTCACCATGCCTCAAATCCTAACAGCCCTCTGTCAAATCCAATGATCCCTGGAATCGGTCCACCACCAGGTGGCCCCAGAAATATGGGTCCCACCTCCAGCCCCATGCACAGGCCAATGCTTTCCCCTCACATCCACCCCCCCACGACACCGACCATGCCTGGGAACCCTCCAGGCTTGTTGCCCCCCCCTCCTCCTGGAGCCCCTTTGCCCAGTCTTCCCTTTCCCCCTGTCAGCATGATGCCAAATGGTCCTATGCCTATGCCACAGATGATGAACTTTGGGCTGCCATCCCTTGCCCCGCTGGTGCCACCCCCAACTCTACTAGTGCCATATCCTGTCATTGTCCCTTTGCCCGTCCCCATCCCCATTCCCATCCCTATCCCTCACATCAACGATTCCAAGCCCCCCAGCGGTTTCTCCAGCAACGGCGAAAACTTCATTCCGAGTAACTCCAGCGAGACGCCTGGAGCAAAGCCACCCAATAGCTCTTCGTCCCCTCGAGAGTCAAAACAAGGATCGTCCAAACCCTCCGACTCCTCTCCGAGCTGCTCAGGCCAGTCCCTAAATCAAGCTCAAGTGCTTCAGGAGCACGGTAAAAATGAAGTTGTTGACTTGACTGTCAGACCTAGTAGTCCTCTGAACAGTAAGTTTGGTTTCCCCAGTGTGCTACAGGGTCCGCAGGATGGTGTGATCGACCTAACGGTGGGCCACCGGTCTAGGCTGCACAATGTCATCCACAGGGCTCTACATGCCCAAGTGAAAGTCGAGCGTGAGCCTAGCAGTGTTGTAAATTTGGCTTTCGGTAGCTCAGACAAAAGGAACTGCAGCGACTGCAGGGACAATTGCAGCCCAATTGACTCAAAAACATTACCATGCGGTGACGCAGCCCACTGCTGCCCTGTCTCCTTGGCCTCCGGCACACCGGGACTGGAAGCCGGAGCAGCTGTGTGCAATGTCATTGTGAATGGCACAAAGAGCACAGAGGGTTCCAAGAACCCGGAGCCACCCCAGGACCTGAAAAAGCCACAGCCCCCAGAGGAGTTGGCGGTGAGCGAGCTGGAGTCTGTGAAGGAGAATAACTGCGCATCGAACTGCCACCTCGAGGGAGACACTGGCAAGAAGGCTGGGGAAGAGCCCCTTGCCGGAGGAGACAAGCAGGACCCCAACCTCAACAATCCGGCAGACGAGGACCATGCGTATGCTTTGCGGATGCTGCCCAAGACAGGTTGCGTGATCCAGCCTGTGCCAAAACCAGCAGAAAAGACTGCTATCGCGCCGTGTATTATGTCAACGCCAATCCTCAGCACAGGGCCAGAGGATCTGGAGCCACCATTGAAAAGGAGGTGTCTCCGAATTCGAAATCAGAATAAGTAAAGGTTTGTGTAATCACTACTGCCTTCTGTGTGAGTAGAATGGTTATTTTCAGGTATGAGGTCAAATGTGAATGTGGCCTTTTTCAAACAGAAAGACACAGATTCCAATTTATCAGCACTTTTAGAAAAGTATCGGTATTTATGTTTTAATAATGTTCTTTGTGTTGCACTGCATTTGTTCTTGTCAGTATTCCATCTATCTGCAGCCTCATTACACTTTTGCTCACAGAACATTTTGTGATGGTGCTGGCTGTGTGTTGTGTATGTCAAATTCAGTGGTTTTCTGCCTAGGATATGGCTTAGGTCTGGGCCATTAATCTGCTTACTTATTCCAGCTGAGTTATGCAGCAACTCAAGCCTTCATGATGATGATTGAAATTGCCCTACAGCGTAGCATAGAGCAGGATTACCCAGCTGCTTACAGTTAGCTTGGATCCAGTTGACTTACCAAATGGTCATCTCCAGCCATCTTGCTTTGGTCTGCCTCCAGACCGTACTCTCGCTTCCAGCCAAGATGCTCTCCAGGGCTGAGACCCCTTGCTGAGCCTTCCTTCCCCAGGTGTCAGCATGTAGGGACTATCAGCTGTTGGACCTGCCCGCTGTGGCTTAGTTCAAGAGGCACTCAGTAGGCAGCAGCTGTAGGTCTTGCTGTGGGGCTTTGCTCTCTTACCTGAGGCACTTGTCTTGGGCAGTTAAGATTTCCCTCAGCCCTGCAGTTGCTATAGGTGTGTGGTTAATGAGAAACCTGTAAAACAAGGCAGCAGTTTGGATAAGTCTACCAGCAGCTGTGGCTTGGCCAAGGACTTGGCTTGGCCAACGTTTCTGTTAGAGAGACTCTTTACTCCTTATTCCCAACTTTCTGATCCTACTGATAAAACAGCACCTTTATAAAACTGTTAGTTTAATATGTGTCTGTTGCTTCAAACTTATGAGCAAGAAACAAATGTAATTGTATTTGTTTAGATTCACAAGCATGGAGAGCTTCTTTCAGGAAAAGGGAAAATGGTAGGTGTTAGAAGAAATCTGTTCAGCAGCAAGATACTGATGTTTTGCTGGATGTGGCTTGGTGAGATGCCAGATTTCATTATAATCCATGGAATATTCTGTAGCCTCCAGTAAATCCCTGTCCCTGGTAGCACAAATGCTGACTGCAGCAGTGCAAGATGAACATTACCTTGAGCAGCTTGGCATCTACAGCCATAGGTAGTGCATTGCAGTATCTCCCTGCTCCACCAGTGCAGGCTAATCGCACCATCAAAGATTCCACAGTGTAGCCAGGACTCCCTTGTATTTGTTACTGTCGCGTTCCCTATCCTGGCTGCCCTGCTGAAATGTTACTTCCTTTGATCACATGCAGTATTTATTTATTTTCTTTGGTGGAACAGAACTGTTATTCTTTGCTTTAGGCATGTACTGACACATTTAAAAGACACATTTGTAAGAACAAAGGATACCTGTAACTTTCCTGGGCTAATAATATATACAATAACTCAGAAGTCAAATGTATATTTAAAACTTTTACACTCTCCTAAGCGCTGCTGGGGGGATTTCCCTAAGCTCCCCCTGGAATGGATGGACTGTATGTCCATCTGCTCTATTATTTGGTTATTTAAGCAGCAAGATCTTCTTTGCACAGCCCAGTGTCCCACCTTTGGAGCTTGAAAATTTGTCTCTGCATAAATGTACGTATGCTTTTAGTTAAGGGTAGGGACTGGATCAAATGAGAAGCCCACTGTTTGACTGAATGCCTTCTATTTAATTTTAGGACAACGATGGTTAACACAACTCCTCCCACCTTGTTCCATCTCCCCATAGCTGTGCTTTGTTTCAATCCAGTGCTAAAAGGCTTGTGCACTTGTGTGCTGATGCTGTAGTCTTACAGCCTGTTTCTTAGCATGCATTGATTTCCATGTGCACATAGCTTACCCGGACCACCCAGGCTGCATTAATGCCACCTCTTTGATGTCTCCGCCCTGGAAGGGCTTTAGCATCATCCAGAGCCACAGCCTTTAAACTCAGGGAGAGTTCTGGCTTCACTGAGTTGTGTTTTTTACCTGTGACATGATAATGTGTGACATCGAGGATGGTGTTTGACAGAGGGAGTGGGCAAACAGTACAGTCTGCACTGAAAAGAGAGATGCTTTTCCACTCGGTTATTATTCTCAGCTGTTTGTATCTCTAAATGTCAATAGTTAACACTTTGGCTATCCTCAGGAATAACCATATTCCCATTCACCAAGTTTTACATAGTCCTTTGTCTCAATGGAAGGACTTTCTTACAGGAAAGTTCTCAGCCAGGCAAACCTAAGCTGACCCTGTGTAGACATCAGTAATGAAGACACAGCTGATCTCATTGTCTGAACCCTCTTTTAAACCAGACTAGAGAAACAGGCACTTCAGAGAGATAGTTGAGCTCATCCTGAATCAACAGTGAAGACAGCTGAGATGAATTGTGCCCTCGGAGCACCTATTTCTCTCTGCTGTGAAGGAAACTGAGGGTGACTGGAGCAGACCTCAACATCCCCATACACACTGAAATTTAAGGGAGACAAAGTCCAGCCTAGTAGTCATGGTGCTGGGACTTCATGCAATAGCTGTGCTTGTCCCTCCTTTCTTCACAAAAAAAAAAAAGAAAAGAAGTAGCCTCTATACAGACATGTGAGACCAGGATCTTTGTGTGTTTCAAGGGAAAGAGGATACCCCAAATGTGCTGCAGAAATAAACAGTTTGATAACCATCTCATTCCAGTGGGTACCTTAGTGAAATGTGGGTGGGTTTTGAGTCTCTCAAAGCACGCACAAGTGATTTGTGTAGGCCTGATGATTGATTTGAGGTGAGGACTCTTTGGTTTCATGCAGAGCCCTCCTTTCACTTAGTGCTGGTAACAGCCACTCCACAGGGGCTGCTGGGACCTGTTTTTCTGTATTCCATATTTCTCTTCAAGGTCTTCAAGGTCTGCCAGGGCTGTGCAGGATTCAGAGTGGGGACAAATGTTGGGCACAGTGTTGCTTCAAGCTGTACCACAGACTGGACCTCCACCATTTCCATGGCTTCTCTGCCCAGGTCTTGAGAAGAGTGGAGAGAAAAGCTTGCTCTATCAGCAACATCGCTGTGGGGAATATCCCACACCAGAACCTCCCAGCCTGACAAAAATTCTAATAAAAAACACAGTAGGTTCTGTATTATTAATTGTGCTGACTGGGACCCTTAGCATTTTTCATTGCACTGGTCATGCTGACCCAAGAGAAGAAAATGTCCAGAGAGTTGTCTTTTTTTCTCCTGATCCCATCCCCCAGCAGGAAAGTCTGAACACATTGCCATAGTGTGCAGCTTTTCCTGGATTTTATTTCCCATCAAATTGTATGAAATGAAGGAAATTAGCCAAATATTTTTACGCTAGAATTCTGGACAAACAGATTGAATTCATGTAATGGCAACATGGACTCTCTAAAAAGGAATCAATGCAAGTGTGACCTTTTCAGGCAAGTTGCCAAACTCCAGATTATTTAATGTACCAATTACTTGATTATTGGAAGTGCTAATCAGCAACATAATCCTTGATGTTAAAGTTTAGTCTCTCCATCAGGATGTGGACTGTCAAGCTGTTCTATTTTGATGCAATTAAAAGAAGCGGTAAAAGATGTCCTAGTGCCAAAGTCCTACTATGATAAAGCAATGAAGCGAGTAAGACTGTTAAGTGCAGTTTTGTTGAGTTTGAGCAGCAGGAGTTTTTAAATTAGTGTTGCCTGCCTGCATTCTCTATGTGCGGGCAGGATCAGCTTTAACCCAACAGTTCTGGTGCAGGATATGGTTGTCTAAGGAAAACTGAAAACTCTAAAGATTGCTTGACTTTAACATAATGGTACTGGTAAAGTGAATGGAAAATGAAATTGCACAGGCTAAAGTCAAAACTAGTTTCTGTGCGTGTGCATGTGTGTGTGTTTGTGAACTTGTCCTAAGTTGGGGGCAGAGAGGTAAAGAAAGGAAGGAGTTTTTCTGCTTGTGTAAGCAGAATTTCTCCCAGAAGTTAATGGAAATAGTAAGAGTGTGGCCACCTACTGAGCCAACCCATATGTCCTGGGGTCAGCATCTCATGAGTTATAGGCCCAAACTTCCAGCTGTCTAGTCCATACATTGTAGTCATAAAAGTGTACAGTGAACAGAGTGCTGCAGTTTAGGCTAGAAGTAATATATATCCCACTGTGAGCTCCCCTGCCCATAATGGTCCAGCACAAGATTTCCTTCTCTGGTCAGGATTCCTAAGGCAAGAGCCATAGCTATTAACCTCCCTTTCTGCCTTAAGAATTTTTATAGCTCACCTATCACTGTAGCATCTATCTACAGCATCATAGCCTGCTCTCATTGCTCTGACCAGGTTAGAAGTTGACCTTAAAGGTATGTTTCAAAACAGATTTTGTATATTTACACACATTTTTATGCCAGTCATCTTTGTTGATGCGCTACTATGGGCCAGAGCCTTAGCTAATTTTAATTGGATATAGTTCTACTGGTGCTAAATTAATTTAAACCAACTAAGTAATTGAACTCATACACTTAACACCTACTCTTCTGGTTCAGAATTTTTCCTTCACCCGGCTTCTTATGAGCCTACAGAATATTTCCATTTATTCTAAGGGTGAGAGGAAAGACTGTTAACACCACATATCCTTAAACACATTTGCTTGGAACTGATGCTTTGCCTTTGAGAGCTTCCTGGCTCAAGCAGTGTGATCTTACATTTAAAAATTGCCTGAGTAGCTTTTCAGATATATTAAGTCAGAAAAAGGGGTTTTGGAATGGAATAGAATAGAATGGAATGGAATGGAATGGAATGGAATAGAATGGAATAGAATAGAATAGAATAGAATAGAATAGAATAGAATAGAATAGAATAGAATAGAATAGAATAGAATAGAATAGAATAGAATAGAATAGAATAGAATAGAATAGAATAGAATAGAAG